GTCACATCTTGAGTACTGTCCGGTCATAAGGTCATCAGCAGCAAAAACACAGAAATTACACAGAAATTATAAATAGCTAAAAACAAGACTGCCAGACTAGCTCTCCACTGTTCGAAGCGCACTCATATTGGAGTTATGCATAGAAATCTATCATGCTTCCGGTTGAGAAACGTTGAATTATATATCCTGGTGGGTGTCTTGTGCACTCATCCTTGGCTGAGATTGATATTGAAAGTGGATGAGATTGTTGATGATGTTGGTGATGTTGTTAATGTTGTTAATGATGTCAGGACTTATGTCTTGAATGTTCAAATCAAATCAAATCAGGTTTTATTTATATAGCACATTTTTAAAACGATTTTTGGTCGAGCCAAAGTACTGTACTGTAATAATTACCTTACAGTAAGGACACTATACAGTAAATACAACAGCACAATTTGTGCAGAATATCAGTATGAGAATACGACACCCTCTGACCTTAGGCCCTCACATCGTACAAGGAAAAACTTCCGGAGAAAAACCCAAGAGCAAAAGCTAATGGGGATCCTAAATAAACATAAAAACATAGACACATACTGTATATATAAATTACCACATTAAGAGGAATACAAGATAAAAATAAAAGGTACAGCAGTCAATATATATAAAAATAACAGTCACTTGCACAGTGTGCAAAATAGTATTGTGTTCTGTAAGATGTATCTCAGCAAAATGTCTTTTTACCAAAAGAAAAAGTAAATAGTTATTCGACGTCACTTCATTTCAGATGGAAATACTGCATGTTATGGCAGAAGCAGAACATTGCGAACTTTCATGCTTTAAAAACACTTCTTTTTTCATACATTTAAATTCCCGCATACAGATTACAAGTGTGTTGTATGAATTTTGGAAGGGAACAACAACTTTGTGAACAAACACGAGGACTGATTCTCCCTGCTGTTCATTCACTTTTTAAGATTAAAGTCGAGATTTGTAATCAGTGATTTTAAGTCCACTGTTTGACGTTACCTTATTCATCAAAAATTAATATTAGTCAGCAGTATTCATTTAGATATTGACAGGGGCATACCGTGTCAAAACTAAAAGAGTGTAGAGTTTCAACGTTTTTCATGCTACATTTAAAGCCAAATTGATCGCTAAAATTAAACTACTACACTACATTCACTTCGGATATTCAAGCAATACTGATCTGTTTCACACTGAGACTGTACACAGGCTGGTAGGGGCCTTGCTCTAAGACCCGAGGCAACTGTAAACAGCCACTGTTTTCAAAATGGAAACAGGGAGGGCTCTGTTTGAAGCCACGCTCCCTGTGGGAAATCCTTCAAGGGTAAACAGGCTTGTGATTCCAGAGGTTTCTCCGGGCATTATACTGCTGCAATACTGCAAGGATAGTGCCTCTGAAGGGAGTTTAACCAATTATAATAAAAGAAAATGCCAAATGTGTTCAATGTACAGTGTGAGTAAACAGCATACATACATTAAGTATTGACAAATTACTGAGTTGGAGAAATTGCCAGATGTACTTACGTCCTGTAGTCTGCATGCTATGTAAATATCATTTTAAAAGGTTGTTCCTCTTTCCTTGTTGCATTATGCATTTAGGAGCTTATTGTACAAATGGTTGGTAGAGAAGAAATAAGTTAAATATGTGTTCCTGTCATTTAATACAACTCACACAGCAGCTGGTGAAAATAGTGCCAGTAAATTAAAAAGGAGGCTGTGGCTGGGAGAAGAGAGAGATCTAAATGGCATAAGACAAAGAGTAAGTGCACAGCAAACTATCTAGACATATCTGCAGGGTATGCATGATGAGAAGGTGGAGTTTTTTTATGAATCTGTTGAAACAGTGCCCAGAAAGTGTCAATACTGTTTGACAAATACAGCAAGTCTTCAGCTAGTCCAGAAGAAGATGGAGAATTATTATCTACTCCTTCTTTACCTGAGATAATGTGTGTTCTCACATTACAGTTTTGCTGAGTGCAGCTGTAAATAACATCTGAAGACAACTCACTGCCCTGAGAGACACAGACATGGGCAGGGCAGAGGAAGGGAACTTTATAATGGAACGATTGAGTTTAGCCTCCGGGGAATAGCACCATGTCTGCATGACACACAGCCTCTCTGGCCCGGCTAGACAGCAGAGGTGAAAAATAAACTGCAGTGATCAGAATAGGATTTAGGACATGGAGCGGATGACCTGGAGACCAAGTGGTTTCTCAGATTTTATAATACAAAATATTACATAATATGCTCAAACACACAGAGAGCAATATGACAGTATGCCATAATCCCTGCTGTTTGCCCGGTGACACGGCACTAAAACGAGGGTGTGGTGTCAACACCCAACAGTAGGGATGTGACACAATTTATATATTTCTGGTTTGTCTAGCTTTAATGATGCTCAGTTAATAAATGTGTTTGTTCATTCTTCAAACCTCAACTAACTGTTGACGTGTAAACTAGCCATGATCCCTTAGTAAATATTGGTTATCCATCCATCTTCTCCCGCTTATCCGTGGTCGGGTTGCGGGGGTAGCAGTTCCAGCAGAGAGCCCCAAACTTTCTTTTCCCTGGCCACATCAACCAGCTCTGACTGGGGGATCCCAAGGCGCTCCCAGGCCAGCGAAGAGATATAATCCCTCCACCTGGTCCTAGGTCTACCCCTTGGTCTCTTCCCAGCTGGACGTGCCTGGAACACCTCCCTAGGGAGGCGCCCCAGGTGGCATCCTAACTAGGTGCCCCGAACCACCTCAACTGGCTCCTTTCGACGCGAAGGAGGAGCGGCTCAACTCCGAGTCCCTCCCTGATGACCGAACTTCTCACCTTATCCCTAAGGGAGACACCAGCCACCCTGCGGAGAAAACCCATCTCGGCCGCTTGTATCCGCGATCTCGTTCTTTCGGTCATGACCCATCCTTCATGACCATAGGTGACGGTAGGAACGAAAATGGCCCGGTAGACAGAGAGCTTTGCCTTCTGGCTCAGCTCCCTTTTCATCACAACGGTGCGGTAAAGCGACTGCAGTACCGCTCCCGCTGCTCCGATTCTCCGGCCCATCTCACGCTCCATTGTTCCCTCATTCGAGAACAAGACCCCGAGATACTTGAACTCCTTCACTTGGGTGTGTCCACCTGTAGCATCTTCCAATTCTTTATTGTCAGACTGAAGTCACCAATAATTTCAACCAGAGCCTTGATTCCTAAAATATACCATGGGATCACAACTCGTGTCACGATGCCAAAGTTATGCTGTGGGAAAGCTATAATGGATTAATAACGCTAAACATAGTATCCTTAAGTTCAGATAAGGGGCAGTAAATGAATAAGAGTGTGCAGACAAACGCTACGTAGCTTGAACGTATACACAAACACAAAACAAGACGTTCAGTGTTTTGCCATCAGTTTGCTTCTGTGCCCTAACAAGCGTTTGAACAACAACCACTGGGCTCTTGACAGTGGGAAACTTCACAATGACCGGCTTAGATGGCAGACATGAATCATCGCTAGTGTTTGTGAGCTTTGTGGATCCAGCAATGTGCAACGGGTTGCTGGGTGGGGGGGTTCGCAAACAGAGAACTCACAACAACACACATGTATTACAATGCTCAACACAGAGAAGTAATGTTTGGGAGCAGTTTCATATAACATTATTAAACCTAGAGCTTAATTTAGGCCCTTACACCAGTCATTTGAATATTTCTTGCAGTAGTCCTACAGTGTGTAATCTTCAATTTGAAGTGATGCTGGAGGCAGCAATACATATTGTAAATTGAAGATAAACATTAATTACAAAAATCTTTAAAACACATGTTTGCATTTATATTGTGCATTTACATTTGTTTGCTTTAATCATAATAAAAGTTAGGCTTTTTTTGTTCACTTCCTGGTACATGTATAATCTTTTCAAGACAGATAGAAAGTTCGGACCATCTTTCTGTTTAATGTTATCGTGCTTTAGTTGTAATTCAGTGGGAAAATAACTGAAAAAATGAAATCAGTGATTATATAAACCTTGGACTTGCCGTTAAGCCTTAAAGGTGACCTATCATGAAAAATGCACTTTAGTACGTCTTTTATACATGAATATGTTTCCCCGGTGTTCCAGGGAACTCACCAAGTGTCAGAAAATACAACCCTCTCTCTTTTCCTCCATTCCCAAATCTTTTAAAAAACGGGGCTACAACGAGCGGATACAGATTCCATCCTAGCTGACGTCAGCCCGGAATAGTGTTGTTCACACGTGACGTGTCCGTTCACACGAGACCGCTCGAAAGCGCTGGAGACGCTGTAGTACATATGCCAGGCCTGTAAGTGGCGCTGTAGTCCTGCCACAAAAGCAGCGAAGAAGACTTCCCGCGCATGGTTGCCCTTCTGTTTATTCTCCGCTGTGGACGCGCTGGCTCTTTTTCTCCCTCCCCGAGGAAAGCGTTTGCTCCTGTTGTAATTCTCTCCGGTGGTCCACCAGCAGATGAAAAACACCCACCTCTCCGCCTCTTCCAAGGGACGAGGGAACCGTGCGGCAGAGTTTCAGTTAGATTTTTTTTCGCCGGTCAACATGTTAAAGTTTAAATCTTCCGGACAAAATTTGAAAAGTGCCGGTCAAAGGTCTTCTTTGTTATTTATTGAGATTTAAAACAAATGAATAACGACTCTATAAAATAAAACACGGAGGACGGAGCCTCTCTTTTCCTCCCCCTCTTCTGAGATTCCAGCAGCTGATCTCCCTCTCCTGCAGGGGGGCGTGGTCAGCTGCAGCTCATTTGCATTAAAGCTACTTCACAGAATCAGCCCTTGCAAAAACAGGGCTGGAAAGAGCAAATAGAGCGAAATGAGGCATGACTAAAATGCATGATCTGTTTGGTATTTTGAAAAAGAAACTTCACAGACATGTTTTATATAGGTATGGCCCTACAATATATTGTTCAAATATAGCATGATAGGTCCACTTTAAAGCAAACTATCGAACTATTTTATCAGACAAACACCTCCAGCACTCACCTTCAGTCCATCGCTGGGTAGCCGATAACCAAACCGTGCAGGCAGGTCATCAAAGTTATCAGTCTTGTTGTCAAATGAGTACTGAAAGATGAAAAGATGAGGTTTGATTACTATGATTCAAGGTATTTCATGGAAGTTGATGCATTGTCAACTTCACTAAATGACTTAAAGACACAAAACCTAGACGTGAAATACCTAAAGCACCATGTTAATGCTGATCCGGATAGGCGGTGTGTTCCTAATGCATACCATTGTTATATTATTGTTGTATGTTTCTTTAGATTGTCCTACATGTACTAAGAATCACTCACAGCAGCGATGTCGGCCCCCACGGGCAGCAGGTTGAGGAAGGCGAAGAGCTGAACAGTGAAGATGGTGTAAATCTGCGTGGCCGACAGCATCAGCATTCCCAGAGACAGCAGCATCTTGGCATCACGTTACAACCCCCAGCTGCTGTGCCACTCACTCATAAACATACACAACCATAAACACACACACAAATGACCACACACACCGGCTTGCAGTGGAAGCGCTTTCCGCCGTCTGTTGTCCTTACACCTGGAAAAGACATCAAGGTTACGCCTTAACTTGCATACACTGATGAAGTAGTATTGATTCATTCAAATACAGACATTTAAATGTAATACTGGAGTGCTGTTTTTTTAGTTGTCCTAACGCCAAAAGTGGTGTTTAATGCTATGTTCAAATGTTAAATGGTGCCAGTGGTTGAAGCAGTGCACTGTCCAAGCCTCAGTCTATTCTAATCCTGCATCTGGTTTTTCGATTATCCCACTCCACATGTGTCTGTCTCTCGAGGTTGCTGCGTTGTTGAATTTATTGTAATTTCAGCTTTCAGAGCCCATGGATCATCTATATTTCAATACTGAATTAAATCTTCTGCAACATTGACAAAGCAGAGCTGATATTCTTGACAGCTGAAAATCATTTTGTGTCAATAATGCCCCTTCCCACTCTTTCTTTTCACAGTTCATATATGATAAATGATACAGACAATCTGAGAAGTGCTGTAAAGCTGGCTGTGTGGATATACACCAGGTATTCTGGAGCATCTGTTTCTTTTTGTATTACTTGTTCATTTTAAGATGTAAAAGCAGGAAGAAGCAAGTGGAGAGTAGAGGCTAGGGCTGCATGATACTGGAAGAAACGGACATTGTGGTTTGATAATACAGGAATTTTCACCAGAAGAAGTTTTAATCCTACTTCCACACAACTGAACTTAAGTTTCTCTTTGCAACCAAGTATATTAATAAGTTCATGTACAGAAGTTAGCTTCAGGCCTGACATCCCAGCATAAGGGGTATGAGTTCACACAGCGGAGGGCATCATGTGACTGGGTCAGGAGAAACCAACCACCAGACTTTAAACCACTAAGCTGTGTGGTCAAGCTGCAAAGTGAAGTAAGGTTTGAGGATTACCTGTTTTGTTTTGTACAATTTGAGGAAAACATGGCAGTTTTTCTAATTATTGCATCATGTGTGCAATGTTACCATTTGTCAAGGTTATATAAAGTGGCCTCTCACAACTGTACTGTAGCAGTAGTGCTTTGAATAAATAGGATAGAGCTTTAGTAGCACCTTTATAGCAGTAGCTGGCCCCAGGCTCTGGAACAGTCTGCCCCTCCATGTGAGGTCGGCCCAGACCATAGGGTTCTTTAAATCCTCACTGAAGACTCACTTCTTCTTTCTCTCTGGCCCTCTAGTCAGAGCTGAGTACGACTCCTGACATTTCCCTGTGTTTTGTTTTTATATTTGCTGTTGTAAATGATGGTCTTTTGTTGTTATTGAAGTAAAGTGTTTTTATTACATGTACAGCACTTTGGCTCGACAACAAATCGTTTTTAAATGTGCTCTATAAATAAAAAAATTAAAATCTAAATCAAATTTGATTTGATTTATAGACAACATGTTACACTATGTTTCAGCATCACTAAATAGCTGCAAGTCAAATGTGGAAACATGTTAATACTCATTTTGTCATAACATGTTCATACACATTTCAAAGGTTACCGCAGAGATCCTGATTTGCATGTTGTTGCCTCTAACTAAACCAGTGTTTGCATGTATTCTAGTAATAAGCAGGCGGAAATTAACAATACCCATTGCAAAACTATTAATTATATTAAAAGCAAAGTCACATTTTAGGGTGAAAATGTAAGTACTATATATTTTTCAACCAAAAATCTGCTAAAACAATCATTTCTAGATCAATAATGCCACCTGCTTTATCTCTTCATAATTCACTTTTAAAAAGTTAAATTTGAAGTCTTACTCACATCAGAGTAAACAGGGAGTGAGGCTTCAAAATGTCACATTCCTCTCCTCCCATCTTACTAATGCTGCTGCTGTCCTTTCTGATGGTCTCCATACTCTATAATTAGCACGGCAAAGCCTGATATGTTCAATAGGATTAATAAAATAGTAAGACATAACCAGCCTTCATGGTCAACTTTTATTTATATTGTATAATTGCTTATTTTCTAGTCTTTTTTATTTCTAATCATGTGCAATACTTTGTTTTACATGCCGCTGCAACAAAACAATTTTGCCAATTTGGGATTAATAAAGTATATCATATCTTATTCTTGTTAACACCTCTCCAATCGAAGGTGCCCAAAACGAAATGCAAAATGATAACGTCAAAATTCACAATATCCAAAATGTAACTCCTGATCTTGATCATTAAGAGAAAAACTATTGAGGATTATTCTGTCATTTTTGACAGAATAAAACTACAAACAATTTAGGTAGGCTACTTATTATTTTGATGCAAAACAAATGGGAATTAAATATAACCATAACACATTCCTGCTAACTGAAATGAAATATAACAAGGAGAGCTGAAACTGAAATGTCACTTTTCTTCTTTTTCTAACAGTATACCATATCCCCAAACCCTTATGTTTAACTGCACTATGTATTCGTGTCATAATGTACAACATGTCACACACATGTTTGCGAAAGGCAGATGTTGATTTCTTAGATGACTCGCTTGGTGTCACTCAAATGTATTGTCAATTTAGCTTACATATGTGACTAAATTCCTATGAAACACATTATTATGGGATGCACAAACTCTGATGCACGACAGTCAGAGACATTACACCAAACCTGGCTTAGACAAAAGAGGGTCCTCTTAACACAACACCCAAGGGGAAGTGAAAGCAACATGTCAGGTGTGCACAGATGACTAAACATGAAGTGACAGAAGTCCGATTTTATTAAGAAAAACACTATAAAAAGGTAAAAGTGCGACAGCTGCATTTACAAACAAGAGTGATTAAAGAATACAAAAGTTAATGACGATCATACAGTTGACAACAATCACCAGACTTCAGAAAATGGTGTTAAACGTTCAAACCCTAAATCTCCCGTGACTGCTGTTTGGTAACGGTGTCCACTCCAAACTGCTTTTATATAAATATCATTTGTAGCGTTAGTGTCAGTCATTTTCAGATAGCTACAGTTGTTTATAGTATTGTTATACACCTTAATAAAGATGTGGACAGCCTTAAAGACGTGCATCTAGCTATAAAAACAGAGCGTCCTGTACCCATGTTAGCATAGCGCTAACACGGGAAGCTAGCTGGCTTGTCGTGGGTGTTTACCTTTATTTCTGCCTGGAGGTTTATCTTGTCCAGGAATTTAGCTGCTGGTGGGGACATCGCTCTCCTTTACTGTAAGTCGTGTCAAGGCATATGCACAACAGCGAAGATTTTGGATGGACTTCATCCCGTTTGGACGGCGTGCCAACAAATATGAACATAAACGTAACAGTTTAATCTCCTCCGCTAGCTTCACATCCACCGCTTCATAATCAGGTTCTGATTGGACGAACCATATGTCAATCATTAAATTCCGGAAGTGACTCCAGACGTAAACATATCCACGTGACAGCACCATGGGACCATGGGACAGGCAGCACACAACCACTACTGCCTTTTACAGTGAACTGCCTGAACCAGCAGCCGCCAGCTTGTATTTACAGCTTTATTAAAGCTACATCATTACATTAGGAGATGACCTGGCAACTGAATGCAACATTTGAAGACATAATTTATTTCAAATAGAGAAAGGTATTCCTTTCCTTGGCACCCTCCCTCCTCAAAATACATCGTCAGTGTCCGTTTTTAATCTCTAGCACCCTCTTTAGTTAATGACATGCACCTTCTCTTTGGTGGATAATTTTGTATTGGTTAAAAATAAAACTGAGATAATATAGATTGAGAGACTTTGATGTCTTCCTTCAATTAACAATACACTACATAGAAATAAATACCAACATGAAACAAAATGTATTTTCAGCATAAAACAGTATTTAAAAAAGGTTTGGAGAACTATTTAAAAAATTGCCTTAAATACAATGAAAAACATAACTTTCAAAGTTTAATTTTAAATGCATTGTGCTTAAAAGGATTGAGTAAATAATTATGGAAGATTTATCTAAGTTTTATTTGTGTCCTGATTGACTTCAAAACATCAAAAGTTACAGATTTTGATCATTGAGAAACCTTGAGAAACACCGAAAACATCGTCACTGTTTGCTCCAAACCCGGATTAAACACAAAAGGGATGTGCACAGCTTCAGATTTTAAAAGGTCAAATGCAAATTAGCAGTCCCCTGTAAAACTATCAAAGAACATTTCAAGTTACTGTAACGACCCTCCATTCCAATGTGAAAACAGTGGTGTAAAAGGGAGTGCAGGGCTGACGTCAAACCGCTGCTTGAACTTTTTTCCAACTGTGTTGACACATTAAACCATTTTCATTTGTTCATATTGTAAATTGTGTTAGAATTGAAAATTGTAATTCAGTACATAACTTATTATTGAGAATCATAATATTGTTTATTATAGGTTTTCACTAACAGTACAATTTGCTTTGGTGTCTTGATGCATTTATGGTTTATTGCACGAATCAAGAAAATTACTACAACAATGTAAATATGCTCTAATATGTTAAAGGTGCGGTAGGTAGGTAAATTTGAGAAACCGGCTCGAGATACACTTTTTGTTATATTCCATGGAATGCTCTTAACATCCCGGTAGCAATGAATATCTTAAGTGCTTTGACAAAAAATCCATAAAAAAATTTCATCTGTGGAAGCCGTAATACTGTAAAAAGTACAACCAATCCGTTTAGCCGGCCCGGCTAAACGGATTGGATTGCCGACCGGTCTGTCAGCTTTCCATCTCGTGCACGCCAGAGCCCTAGAGAGCAAATGTATCTTGTGCCGTCATTGGGCGTGCATTGCAGCAGTACTTCGATGACTCGCCAGCAACAGGCGGCCACTTTCACCAGTCTGCTGACGTCATGTGCGCGTTCATGTGTGTTGGAGGAGGTGCTCTGTAAGGAAGGGGCGGATTCTTTTCGGCTGTGTACTTTCAAATTTTAGTGCACTCGAGCCGGTTTCTGAAACTTACCTACCCCACCTTTAAGCAGTAGCGTGGCGTGGGGAAAAATGTAGGGGAAGCCCATTTTTTGGGTCGGGGGGGTGGTCAATAACGTAACCAGATGAGTGATTACAGCACCCGGTATCATTTTACACACATTTGTATCACACAGATGCAGGACTTGCACTCGCCTGTTATCTAACCGAAAGGTCCGCACGCACTCTCCAGCTGAAACTCTCCTTATTAATTTAAGCATTTTACTTATTAATGTATGCAGACAATAACACAATCTATGTGATTTTTGGATTTACCGTGCCTCTCAATTGCCCGTGACAGGTTGGCAAGGTCGATGAATCCTGAAGTTGCCCAAGGATTGTTCAGGGAGCACGAATCCTTGTCAAAAAGAAGACATGGCCAGCAAAATAGACGCTGAAGTTTAGCGCTTCCAGTTAGCCACTCCGTGCGGACATAATTGTCCTCATTGAACGTCCGATTCTCTCCCTTTTTCCTCTGTGTACACACAGCTCGAGTGCGGGCATTGGCCTGTCATCTGATTTAATTTTCAGTTGCTGCTGTAGCAGAAGTTTAGTAAAGTTATGTTTGATTAAGTACGCCAAATCTCCACCCTCCATAATGCTTCATTTGCTTGATAATTTCTGACGGCGGTGATGACAGTTACAGTATTAAAACTGATGTTGATGTGATTTGATTGGATGGCAGTGTCCAATCAAATCGCCAGCCGCCAGCCGCCTCTGAAGGGAAGCAAGAGGCGGCTGGCTTCCCTTGGCATGGCCTTGACCAATCACAGGTTGGCAGGGGCATCACGTGGGCCTCATCTGATTGGTCAATCCCTCCATTTTTTTTCACCAAGGGAAGCTAGATTCGGCTGGCCTCCTCTCACAACAGAGAGTGCAATCTACTGTTTCACCATAACATCTAGAGGGGCGCTGTTTGTTTCACTCTTTGTAAAATACTCAATGAGAATGGGGGAGCGACGGGCCGGCAGCAACACACAGCAAAGGAGAATTATCGAAACAAAACAAAGTGTTTTTATTTATTTATTTAAATTATAACTACAATCCGAAAAAACAAGGGAAGCCTGGCTTCCCTTGGCCTCCGGGAGAAAACGCCACTGCCTTTAAGTACTTTATTTGAGTCCGTCAGATATGCTGATGTACAACATTTCCTGTCTGGCTGTGTAATGTCTACTTTAAGAAAGTAAGTCCATACCTGCATCTGAACTTTGTGACTTTGAGGCCCATTCCCAAACCGCCCCCTACACCCTACCCCTACACCCTATCCCTCCGTTTGCGCGTTCACGCGAAGGGTCCGCCATATTGAGGGCTGGTCCAAAGCAATCAGGGCGGAGGCGTAGTGGGTTATAAAAGCCTCCGACAGCGAGTTTGCATGGATGCAGGCTTGATAATCTCACTCCACAGGTGTGCAACCGTTTTTCGGGCATGGAGGAAACAACGTCATACAAATGTGAGTTCCATGTGGTTATTTTTTTAAACGATAAATAATACGTTGCCTTAACTAAAACATGCCTTTGTGAACATGTATTTATAAATCTACACGTGTTAATTTGATTTGCCAAGATTACATTAGATTTTTATTTTGAAGATGTACAAATCTAAATCGGAATCAAACTAACAACACATGTGTCAATTCATGTATCCATTCACTTACGAAATCGGTTTAAACTTAAGTGTGATTTATAATTTCAGGGACTGTGGTAAAAACCAAGGCACTTATTGCTTTAAGAATGGAAAAGGATGACCTGTTCTGCAAAAAACGCAATGCTGCCAAAGAAGCATGGGAGTGAGTTATGCACTCAATTCATATTTTGTGCAATGAAAGTAATGAATGTGCACTGTGGGTCATTGCCTTAACACCAATATATATTGTTTAAATATTCTATGATAACAGGTCAATCATTAAGGAACTGGACCTTGGGCAACATGTGTCTCACAAACAGGCCTCCAAGAAATAGGAGAACCTAAAAAAGAAATACAAGGTAAATGGTGTATTGTTATTGTAAAACATGTTTGTTTTTGAAAAAGCTGAACAAAGATTTCTAGCATGCATTTGTTTGCAATAGGAACTTAAAAGGCCAAGGACTGGAACAGAGACTGATCAGGGGGAAGAAACCCCTGCAACATGGCCCTTCTTCATGGCCATGGATGAGGCCATAGGTGCAAGGCCTTCAATTAGTCCTCCTGTCCTTGTTGCCTCAGCCTTGGCAAACCCCACAATCCTCTTCGATCCGGAGGCTGCTTCCTGCTCCTCTTCCTTCCCCCCCCAAATGTGGCTGATGATCCAGACCCCTCACCACCCTCATCACTGTCTGAGGCTGGAACCACCCAGCAGCCCCCCCCAAAAAAAGAAAAGGTGCTATGGGAGTGCTGGAGTGCCTAGAACGCGAGGCAGAAAAAGAGGACGAACGCCACAGACAAATAATGCAGCACTCAGAGAAATTTCTAACCCTGTTCGAAAAAATGGTCGACAAAATGTGATTTATTTGTTCCCCCCCACCATTGGCCATTTCTATGTTTGATTATTGATGTTACTTAAAAGACTTGTTTTTGTTCGCTTGTATTATTTATTTGGAAGACAATAAACCTAATTTAACGTACTGTCCTTCATGTCTTCAATATTCTATAGTAAATACAGGCAGACGGGTGATGAAGGTGACATTGCGTTTGCTTGATTGTTAGATGGCTACATTGTTCTGTGTGGGTTTCATAATGTAGAAGGAAAAGTTTTGCACAAAGTAATGTTGTGCACGGAACTAAAGTGTTTTTTCCAAAGTCTGAAGATTAACCCTGAATATCAGCATTTTAAATAAAGATATGTCTGCGCTTCATAGGTATAAGGCATTAAAATATACATGATATTTACGGTCTTAATTGCTCATGTCAAACCATTTGCAGAGTTTCACTCAAAAACAAAAGTGATTGTATTAGAAGACCTGTGTTCATTTTCTGAACCTTTGCTCTGTGCTCGTGATTGAATGATCCAAGAGGTAAGGACATTTGTCTCCAATTTAGGATTATGCAGAAAGACAATTCAGGAAAACCAAGTTTGAAATCAACGGTGCACAGGTTTATTTTATTTCACCGCTTTTCTCTAAAGTGAGAAGTGGAGCTCACTAAAACAAACAAAATTAATCAGGTATGTGTGCACATCATTTCAAAAACACAAGTTAACAGACAACCACGTTTTTCCAAAAAAAAACAAAGTTCATTCGATGTAATCGTGCTCTCCGGTGTGGTGCCATTTGGACAGGAGCAGAGAGTTGTGCAGAAATCCTGTTCCTTAGGTGGTGTCCAGGACTTTCCTGTCCACATGCTGCGGCAGGGGGAGGACTCTGGTCTCCATCTTCAGGGTGGAAGGCTTCAGCATCCTCAAGGACATCGTTCATGTCTATGCACAGAAATGCACAACATGCAATGATGTCAGGGGCAAAGCTTGGACTGACCTCCAGCGCTTTGAACACACACACACACACACACACACACAATTTTGAGACCAAGTCAAATTAACCTTTCCTTTTTTATTCTATAAACTACTGACAACATTTCTCTGTGTTGGAATTCTACATACACTATACAGATATACACGTATAGCTTATAAGGAAAGAATAAATGAATGTATATCACAATATATCTAAATATCTATTTGTATTACACATACAAAGTTCATAGGCTACTATATAAGAAATAAAGTGAAGATAATTGTTGTATTAGCAATATTGAAATGTTTACCTGCCACTGGCACATCGCTAAAATGCGCCTCAACCTTCTGCGCCTTCTGTTGGATCTTGCCATTGCACCCGCTAACAGGCGACGGATAGCAACGCAGGTCAATGCAGCCGACAGATGGAGATGTGAGTTGGACACCATGACGTCCGTTTCCGTTTCCTGCGGAGAGAGGGGAGGCCGTCCCAAAGCTTGCCGCTGTATTTTTACCCTTCATTCAGCTGTGAGTGTGCCTACAGACGGAGTTCACTCCGTCACGGAGGGGGAGGGTCGAGGGAGTGGTTTGGGATTGGGCCTCAGTCAAGCCCCCAGGAAGTGCGCCGGACTCAGATGAAAATATTCGTGCTGGCCAAACGGCGGTACTACACTTCCGTTTGGTTGCCAGGCCCGGAAACACTTTTTGCCATTGACTTACATGGGGAAAGAGTGGTCTGTAACTCGTTGGATAATTTTTTTTAAACTAAATAAACTACACAGTATGAACGTTTGTATAGCCCTTATTAAAAATATTCGTTCCTCAAGTTGTAAGAATGTGCTAATAACGTTATTCTGAGAGTTATTTCCCTCTGCATTATGAACGCGCATCTAACCCACGGGACCGCGCCGCCCGGCACATTCATGTTACGTGTCCCGACCAATCAGAGCACACTGCTCACAGAGAGGGTGGGGGCTGGAGCTATTGGAGCTATTGGAGCTACAACGAGCCGTTAAAGGCAGAGTGAAATTCAGTGAATACACGTAGTTTACAGAGATGCTGTATGAGAAACCAATGTGAGTTGCGTTTATCTTTACCCATGGATGCACAATAAGAACGGACCCATATCGTCTTACTGCCACCCCACGGAGCTGTAATAATGGATATATTGCACATGTTTGCTGTAATTCATTATCATAGGCTACTACATGGGCTGTATGATTAAATCTTGTACCGTAAATGTTGTATTAAATAAACATTATTAACGTCCCTGTAGCTTCGTATTGCACTAAGAAGCTTATTGCACTGTATATAAATATATATATATATATATATATATATATATATATATATATATATATATATATATATATATATATATATATATATATATATATATATATATATATACAGTGCAATAATTATTTCATGCTAAATGAAGCTCTGTTGGATATCACTAGATCCTGTTACAGCGTAATATAAGTACATAACGATTGATGTGTACATTAGCATCATTACTAGCTAGCTGCTAACTGCCGCCTCGTTCATATCAAATCCATGATAACAACAATATATTACCATGCTGTCATGAACGCACGGTGCTGTTACGTGTACGCAAATTGACGTGCTTGATGTGAACGAGCATTTTGGTTAAAGTTGCGCATGCTCTATGAGTGCACATACGGGTACTTCTCAGGCATGCTGGGTAATCTGTGACGTTTCACTCTCTCAAAAGTTGGGCCATTTTATCATCATGCGCTAATGAGCAGCTCTCATAGGAATGAATGAGGCCCCGCCTCCCACGCTGTATCCAGTTCTTATTATACATCCATGCTTTGAGTCTATAGGCATTTGTTATGAGGTATAATTGCTGTTGTATAAACAGCCTGTTGTATAAACAGCAGCAGGTCATGTGAGCAGATGACATTAGACTACTTTAAACTTCAGTTTTGTGACTCAATAGTGTGCAACACAGTAGGCCTATGAGATGTAAAGCATCTCTTCTTCAAGTACTCAATATACATTAAAGGCCTGTATCATTTTTGAATGTTTGTTATTTTCCTGTCATTATAAAATCATTTAAGACTTTTGACAAAGACCTAGCTCAAAGATTTCAAATTCCATACAATGGCATTTAGGATGCACAACTATTTAATGATTTATATGTCAAAGCATTGTCTTGTGTTCACTTGTTATGTCCTAATCTTCACAGTAGCTACCCCCAAACCCACCCAACTCCTAACCCCATCCCTACAGTGACTTTGGCTCACTCAAACTCATCGCGCACACTCCTCGGGCCAGCCAGACTCCAGAGGAGCCAAGCGGACGGAGGACGGATGTCCTGACCATGAGGGTCCTCATCTGCTTTGGGTCCTCCTGTGAGCCTTTTGACATCTCTCCCAATCAGACTGTGGGGGCCATAAAGCAGATGATCAAGGTAATAAAAAGCTCTGAACAGTGGTGGCCCAGGAACATCACTGGTGTTCATTTCTTGACATGCTTTGTCTGTATTTTGAATTTTATGACGATTTGGACATATTGCTGGAGTAAAAACATTTAGAAATGTGGTTGAATGAATGAATACATGTATAAGGGACCGCAACTGATAACTTATTATGTAAATACGTTATAATACTATACTTAATAATATAGTTTATAATAAGGTTTTAAAAAAGACGAACAAAAAAGCTAATTCAGTCAGAGACGCTGAGCATTGTCTATCAAGAATGTTTTCATGTCTCTATCTGGCTCCATACATTTCCACTGTGTCCCTTTCTGTAGGATAACTTTCTGGTACAACTCTCAGATGACAAGCAGCACCAGTACCTGGAGCTGAGCTACGGCGGTGCCGCGCTGCGGGAGAACTGGACTCTGTGCGACGTGGGTATCACAAGGGGCAGTGCCATCCGATGCCTGATAAAGGTATTCAAATATGAAAAGGGTTGAAACTATTTTGTAATTTGCAGTAAATACGATCAGCTTGCAATGATTCACAGAGAGAATGCTTAAGTCCATCTTTTCTTCAGGCCTATACTATTATTTTTTAGAAACAACCCCCTAGGAAAAATACTTACTTATCAATTTTTGGAGGGATAGAAAGTTACTTATACGTTTTTTACTCTTGGAGCTGGAGTCTATATTTATTGTACTGCTCAACAACACTTTAGTGGAGTTTATGCTTGATGACACCAGAGCTCATTCACACTATCACGGAAATCCACCTTGAAAAAAAAAATGTCTTCACATTTTCACTTAGAATTAGTATTGTAGGAGCCATATGTTAAAATGTATAATATAATGTATATTTGAGCATTGTAATTCTTTGTTATTAGTATTATTATATCATTTATTTAAACCAGCCGTAACTGCTTATATATTCATTTATTGGGATTTTTTCTCATCAAAGATATCCTTGGATTGTTTGTCACATCGGTGTTATAATATAGTATAAGATGTTCGAGCAGCTGCTGAGCAATGAGTTTATTGCTGTCTGAGATCTTTAGTTTGTCCCTTTTAGTTGTTTTTTATTATTGGGAAACATTCCAGACTTGTCACCAAGCAACCTTTTGTAAAAGCTGACAGTGATAAGCGTGGGTGTGTGTGTCCCTTTGTCATCATTTTACATCCTCTTGTAAAATAGTTGCCTTCTACCAACCTTACCTTATCCATTTCACTCTGGAAACTTGTATATATCTTGGATTGTGTATCTTTGCTATGACATCTAAAGTTTTTATTTCAAAAATAAATGTTTGCCCTCCCGGTCCTCAAGATTTCACATACTATTCAGTATAAATCTTTTGCTTAAAGGATGGTAAATCATGTACAGAGCTTTTGCAAATAAAAATATACATACAAGCCTGCCAGGCTCTGGTTTTCCCTCAGCAAAGATATCCAAAGACAAATCTGTATATAGTATGTTTCTTAAAATATGATGCAACTTTGTGTGATTGAACATCATTTCAACCACAGAGGGGCAGCAAACTCCTTGTTGTTTATTGGCCACTTGCACTGGCAATATTTTAGAGTGATTCAGAGTCCAGATACAAATAATAAATTCACATAATTCGGCTTTTTGGGGATAAACAACAGGGTTTCATCAACTAAAGTCTCTAAGTAGGCTCAAGTCCCGCCTCCCCTTCAACAAGGCAGCACAAGAGATTCTCAATTCCACCTCTGAGGACCTCTTCAGAGATGCATGGTTGGCGGCTGCTTGGAGGCAGGAGTGGGAGCTAGCCGGGCCCTCCCGCATCCATCGCTACATCTGGGACCCAGGAGATGGCGCCATAGGAGGAGACGACCTACCACGCCGGCAATGGACCACACTAAACCGTCTACGAACTCGGGTCGGTCGCTTCAAAACATCAATGAAGAAGTGGGGCCTGGCAGACAGTGCTGCATGCGAGTGTGGTGACCCTGAACAGACTGCCGAACATATAATAACCACCTGCCCTTTATATAGACCACCCTCGGAAGCCGGCCTCTTCGACGTAGGACCAGAGGTGCGGGCATGGCTACACAACACCGAGTTGGACCTCTGACGTTACACGAAAGAAGAAGAAGAACTAAAGTCTTGGTATTCTTTTTACTTATTAATTGCATGGCCATTATACTTTTCTTTCAGAGTGAACGAAGGCCTGTGATGCGTGTGTTCAATGCTGTGACAGGAAAAACTCTACCAATCATGGGAAGTGCACTTTTGAATATGTCCATCGCTAGACTGAAATCTGTGGTGTCCATGCAAAGCGGCCTCCCTGTCGGCACTTTCAGACTGAGCACACCTGAGGGCGTGCAGCTCTACGACTGCAACCAACTGCAAGACTACGCCATTGTAGTGGGTACGGCCTGCTCTCTGTTTATGCAGTTGATGTGTGTTAGTGTGAGTGCTACGTAGCTCCTTATTTTTTTAAATGTCAAAGCTAATAACACTTTGATTGATTCAGTGAAAGTTTAGATATCATGTTTTGTCTTGACTTCTAAATTACTTTACTTTCAATTGTGTAATGTAGGCTAAGCTTCCAAAATGTGTTGAATGTTAGCTGGTAGGAACTTCATAATAGAGAAATGGAACAGAGCATTTATTTCTTAGAAATAATTGCTTTCTATTTTGAAGTTAATATTATAGTATAATAATTTAATGATTCAGATCTATTTTAAAATCCTAACCGTTATTACTATTTTATTTTTCAAACAAAGGCACTACTCTCCGTTTGGATACCTGGGATGGGTGGGTGGAGTTCCTCCTGAGTTGCCTCCTTGGCCACAGATTGACAGTCCAGATCCACCTATCAGAGAAGAAGCCGGTAATGAGGTCAGAAACTCCATTCATAATCATTCAAATACAAGTGCAACAGAACTGTTGTCTTTCACTTTATCCATAAAGTCAGAGTGCAATTTTACACTTAAAATGAATCATTTCTGACCTGCTTCTCCAGGTTTCAGCTGCAGGTGGCACTGTACATCGCTGCCTCTTCTGGTCACCTGGATCTGGCAGGCTGGCTGCTGGAGAGAGGGGTGCATGCTGACAAACCAGTCGGGGTCCATCCGTACCGCCAGTGGTGCCAGCAAACCGCCCATAGAGACACCGGAAAGTGTCCCATCCACATAGCTGTAGAGCGCAACCACCTCCTCATCCTCAAACTCTTCATCACCAAGAACCTTTTGAGCTTGACTTGTAGGGACCCTGGAGGTCGGGATCCTTTGAAAGTTGCTATTCAGCATGGTAGCAGGGACTGTGTGCAATACTTAGCAAACAAGCTGTGCTCAGTAGTGTCCCTGTCAAACATATCCCTACCCATGCGTATCTACCTCCAGATAAAACGCTGGGTGAGTTTGGGGCAGAAAGGGGCAGCCTCCAATCAATGCCAGTACAGTGCTGCTTTCAGAGCCAGGGTGGGGGATAAGTTGCTGGTGGATGGTTTCAACCAGCCATATATGTCTTCCAAATCCAGGAAAACTGTAACAATACCAAGCAGAGGAATCAAGGCCAAAGCTTTGCAACCCTTGCCTCCCATCAGCAACTTACTTTCACATCTCCCCAGTCTAGGTGACTTTAAAGAGATGCAAACAAATCAGAAACAAGATGTGAAAAGTAAGAAAGCTTGCCTATTGGATGGAATCTGCCAGGATGACAGCAGCTTATTGAGAAGGAAATGCATACTGCCACCCATTTCCAGAGACAGAGTTCCCAGGCCAACATCTCCCCATATTCTGACTGCATCTCTGAAGTCCAGCTCAACACCAAGAGAAAAAGCCACATACTACTTGACCGTAGCCAGGTCTGTATACTTTTTTTCGATACACTTTTAGCAGGTTATAACATGGTTTTCATTATGCAATAAAAACAGATTTGTCACATAAATACAGTTTTATTTGAGGTTCACAGCAAAGGGTCAGTTAAGCAAAATCTGTTTTTCGTACAGTCAATTTGTTTAAACCACACATATTTTCTGTCCGTAATTCTGTCAGTTTCTAGTTACTGATGGGCTTATAAAATATTCTGACAACAATTAAGTTAAAGGCGTTACATATATTTTCATATTAAAGCATTTTTTTAAACGTTTTTGTAGTTTCTCTAATAAGAAATTAAATATAGGCTATCAACTGCCTCATTTTTTGGTTATTTCACCACACTAACAATTCATCATGATTGATACTGACTTATATGTTAAAGAAATACATGACAGCCCTACTTTATTGAGTTAATGCATGTTTCTCTTATGCAGTAACTTTACAGAAAAGCCTTGGTTGAAGCAGCTGAGCATTGCCCGGACCCTGATCAGGAAGCGTGTCCATACCATGGCCTGATCCAGATGTGTTCATCATCAAACAAACTGCTGGTGGATCTCCCATCAGCTGCTTCAATAACTGGACAACGAAGAATCCTTCAGAGTGACAACTGAGGAGTGTATCTCAGGCTTAGCATGTTGTTGAAATTAAACTTGTCTGTCTTTATATACGTATAGCCAAGTATCTTTATTCTATAGCTTTTTACACAAAAAGAGATTGATAGACGTACGTATATGTACAGATTTAAAAAAAACTTGTTTTAATTACTGGAAGTGAATGATTAATTAATGCAATGTTGTGTTTAATAAAATCTAAAGGAGAGGGCCTTGCTGATGACTTGCCTTTGGTTGAAATTGAAATGTAGTAACAAAGCCCACTGCAGCCCTCTCTATGTGTGTAGTTGAACATCAATAAACAATTTTCTGATTAAAATTGAAGAAGAGGTTTATGAGTTGTTTTAAGCATTTGCGAAACTGGAGGCAGTAATAGTCAGCGAGCTTTGGTTCCCATTGTTTTTCTCTCTTAAACCAGCAAACAGAAAAGGGACTACTTTTTCCATGCAGGTGCTCAACACCCAGGGGAGGGATATATTTTGTATTCTGCTATGCTGATGTTAAATCTGGAGAAATTGTCCCCACCACTTTTTCTACCAAAAGGACGCCCATGATTGTAACTGTATAAAAAATAAGCAAAATAGGATTGAGAATTGGTCTTTTATTTAAAAATATATGAATACATTAAAAGAAGATGAATACATGCCAATAAAAATGTAGGAAGACATACAGGGGCGGATCTAGACAAATATTCATGGGGTGGCAAGAGGGTGGCAGGAGAATTTCAGGGGTGGCCCGTCTACACTACAGGCATCAAAAAATCTTGAAGCTGGGCGTGTCTGAGGCTTGGCGATTTCTCGCGCCCAAGGCGACCAACAACCAATCAGGAATCTCCCGCCCGCCCCCGGCATACAAAGCAATAGCAATGTTAAAACGAGGTAAACTGGATATAAAATCCCCAAACAGGCGAAAACCTACCAGTTTCATCCACTGTCTCTGCCACCTCCCTTCATGCCTCGCTCCTCCAGTTTGTATCCCGGTAGATGAACAGAGACTGATCATACAGCACCGGGTGATTCACTACCGCTATAATGAATTTCCCTCCATTTTTTTTGAATATGAGGAAATGACCTGCGTAGTCTCTCCCAGCATACACACGGTTTGATTGGCTAGCGCTTGAACTGTCAGATTTGCATACGCGGGATTTGATTGGCTGATGCCAAGCATCGAGCCTCAAAAGAAAGCCACGCTCCGCTCCCCACAATGCAGTTCGGCGAAGATTCAAAATCAACTAGGCCTACGTCACCCCATTCAAGTGAATGGGCGAAGTGTTGAAAGCATTTTTCGATGCCTGTAGTGTAGACGGGCCGTAAGTTCTCATGAACCTTTGTGGGAAAAGTACTGCGGTGTGAATGCGCCTATTAGGCGCATTCACACAGATTGACAGTCCAGATCCACCTATCAGAGAAGAAGCCGGTAATGAGGTCAGAAACTCCATTCATAATCATTCAAATACAAGTGCAACAGAACTGTTGTCTTTCACTTTATCCATAAAGTCAGAGTGCAATTTTACACTTAAAATGAATCATTTCTGACCTGCTTCTCCAGGTTTCAGCTGCAGGTGGCACTGTACATCGCTGCCTCTTCTGGTCACCTGGATCTGGCAGGCTGGCTGCTGGAGAGAGGGGTGCATGCTGACAAACCAGTCGGGGTCCATCCGTACCGCCAGTGGTGCCAGCAAACCGCCCATAGAGACACCGGAAAGTGTCCCATCCACATAGCTGTAGAGCGCAACCACCTCCTCATCCTCAAACTCTTCATCACCAAGAACCTTTTGAGCTTGACTTGTAGGGACCCTGGAGGTCGGGATCCTTTGAAAGTTGCTATTCAGCATGGTAGCAGGGACTGTGTGCAATACTTAGCAAACAAGCTGTGCTCAGTAGTGTCCCTGTCAAACATATCCCTACCCATGCGTATCTACCTCCAGATAAAACGCTGGGTGAGTTTGGGGCAGAAAGGGGCAGCCTCCAATCAATGCCAGTACAGTGCTGCTTTCAGAGCCAGGGTGGGGGATAAGTTGCTGGTGGATGGTTTCAACCAGCCATATATGTCTTCCAAATCCAGGAAAACTGTAACAATACCAAGCAGAGGAATCAAGGCCAAAGCTTTGCAACCCTTGCCTCCCATCAGCAACTTACTTTCACATCTCCCCAGTCTAGGTGACTTTAAAGAGATGCAAACAAATCAGAAACAAGATGTGAAAAGTAAGAAAGCTTGCCTATTGGATGGAATCTGCCAGGATGACAGCAGCTTATTGAGAAGGAAATGCATACTGCCACCCATTTCCAGAGACAGAGTTCCCAGGCCAACATCTCCCCATATTCTGACTGCATCTCTGAAGTCCAGCTCAACACCAAGAGAAAAAGCCACATACTACTTGACCGTAGCCAGGTCTGTATACTTTTTTTCGATACACTTTTAGCAGGTTATAACATGGTTTTCATTATGCAATAAAAACAGATTTGTCACATAAATACAGTTTTATTTGAGGTTCACAGCAAAGGGTCAGTTAAGCAAAATCTGTTTTTCGTACAGTCAATTTGTTTAAACCACACATATTTTCTGTCCGTAATTCTGTCAGTTTCTAGTTACTGATGGGCTTATAAAATATTCTGACAACAATTAAGTTAAAGGCGTTACATATATTTTCATATTAAAGCATTTTTTTAAACGTTTTTGTAGTTTCTCTAATAAGAAATTAAATATAGGCTATCAACTGCCTCATTTTTTGGTTATTTCACCACACTAACAATTCATCATGATTGATACTGACTTATATGTTAAAGAAATACATGACAGCCCTACTTTATTGAGTTAATGCATGTTTCTCTTATGCAGTAACTTTACAGAAAAGCCTTGGTTGAAGCAGCTGAGCATTGCCCGGACCCTGATCAGGAAGCGTGTCCATACCATGGCCTGATCCAGATGTGTTCATCATCAAACAAACTGCTGGTGGATCTCCCATCAGCTGCTTCAATAACTGGACAACGAAGAATCCTTCAGAGTGACAACTGAGGAGTGTATCTCAGGCTTAGCATGTTGTTGAAATTAAACTTGTCTGTCTTTATATACGTATAGCCAAGTATCTTTATTCTATAGCTTTTTACACAAAAAGAGATTGATAGACGTACGTATATGTACAGATTTAAAAAAAACTTGTTTTAATTACTGGAAGTGAATGATTAATTAATGCAATGTTGTGTTTAATAAAATCTAAAGGAGAGGGCCTTGCTGATGACTTGCCTTTGGTTGAAATTGAAATGTAGTAACAAAGCCCACTGCAGCCCTCTCTATGTGTGTAGTTGAACATCAATAAACAATTTTCTGATTAAAATTGAAGAAGAGGTTTATGAGTTGTTTTAAGCATTTGCGAAACTGGAGGCAGTAATAGTCAGCGAGCTTTGGTTCCCATTGTTTTTCTCTCTTAAACCAGCAAACAGAAAAGGGACTACTTTTTCCATGCAGGTGCTCAACACCCAGGGGAGGGATATATTTTGTATTCTGCTATGCTGATGTTAAATCTGGAGAAATTGTCCCCACCACTTTTTCTACCAAAAGGACGCCCATGATTGTAACTGTATAAAAAATAAGCAAAATAGGATTGAGAATTGGTCTTTTATTTAAAAATATATGAATACATTAAAAAGAAGATGAATACATGCCAATAAAAATGTAGGAAGACATACAGGGGCGGATCTAGACAAATATTCATGGGGTGGCAAGAGGGTGGCAGGAGAATTTCAGGGGTGGCCCGTCTACACTACAGGCATCAAAAAATCTTGAAGCTGGGCGTGTCTGAGGCTTGGCGATTTCTCGCGCCCAAGGCGACCAACAACCAATCAGGAATCTCCCGCCCGCCCCCGGCATACAAAGCAATAGCAATGTTAAAACGAGGTAAACTGGATATAAAATCCCCAAACAGGCGAAAACCTACCAGTTTCATCCACTGTCTCTGCCACCCTCCCTTCATGCCTCGCTCCTCCAGTTTGTATCCCGGTAGATGAACAGAGACTGATCATACAGCACCGGGTGATTCACTACCGCTATAATGAATTTCCCTCCATTTTTTTTGAATATGAGGAAATGACCTGCGTAGTCTCTCCCAGCATACACACGGTTTGATTGGCTAGCGCTTGAACTGTCAGATTTGCATACGCGGGATTTGATTGGCTGATGCCAAGCATCGAGCCTCAAAAGAAAGCCACGCTCCGCTCCCCACAATGCAGTTCGGCGAAGATTCAAAATCAACTAGGCCTACGTCACCCCATTCAAGTGAATGGGCGAAGTGTTGAAAGCATTTTTCGATGCCTGTAGTGTAGACGGGCCGTAAGTTCTCATGAACCTTTGTGGGAAAAGTACTGCGGTGTGAATGCGCCTATTAGGCGCATTCACACAGATTGACAGTCCAGATCCACCTATCAGAGAAGAAGCCGGTAATGAGGTCAGAAACTCCATTCATAATCATTCAAATACAAGTGCAACAGAACTGTTGTCTTTCACTTTATCCATAAAGTCAGAGTGCAATTTTACACTTAAAATGAATCATTTCTGACCTGCTTCTCCAGGTTTCAGCTGCAGGTGGCACTGTACATCGCTGCCTCTTCTGGTCACCTGGATCTGGCAGGCTGGCTGCTGGAGAGAGGGGTGCATGCTGACAAACCAGTCGGGGTCCATCCGTACCGCCAGTGGTGCCAGCAAACCGCCCATAGAGACACCGGAAAGTGTCCCATCCACATAGCTGTAGAGCGCAACCACCTCCTCATCCTCAACCTCTTCATCACCAAGAACCTTTTGAGCTTGACTTGTAGGGACCCTGGAGGTCGGGATCCTTTGAAGTTGCTATTCAGCATGGTAGCAGGGACTGTGTGCAATACTTAGCAAACAAGCTGTGCTCAGTAGTGTCCCTGTCAAACATATCCCTACCCATGCGTATCTACCTCCAGATAAAACGCTGGGTGAGTTTGGGGCAGAAAGGGGCAGCCTCCAATCAATGCCAGTACAGTGCTGCTTTCAGAGCCAGGGTGGGGGATAAGTTGCTGGTGGATGGTTTCAACCAGCCATATATGTCTTCCAAATCCAGGAAAACTGTAACAATACCAAGCAGAGGAATCAAGGCCAAAGCTTTACAACCCTTGCCTCCCATCAGCAACTTACTTTCACATCTCCCCAGTCTAGGTGACTTTAAAGAGATGCAAACAAATCAGAAACAAGATGTGAAAAGTAAGAAAGCTTGCCTATTGGATGGAATCTGCCAGGATGACAGCAGCTTATTGAGAAGGAAATGCATACTGCCACCCATTTCCAGAGACAGAGTTCCCAGGCCAACATCTCCCCATATTCTGACTGCATCTCTGAAGTCCAGCTCAACACCAAGAGAAAAAGCCACATACTACTTGACCGTAGCCAGGTCTGTATACTTTTTTTCGATACACTTTTAGCAGGTTATAACATGGTTTTCATTATGCAATAAAAACAGATTTGTCACATAAATACAGTTTTATTTGAGGTTCTCATGAGAACTCTTTTGTCGCGTTCACACCAAAAAGAGCCGGTACTAAAATTAGTTCATGAGAACCTTTTTACCTTTTTAGCGGCACTCTTGTGAGAAAAGAGCTATATTTCTGATTGGCTGGGCGGATTGCAAACCACGCCCCGTAAAACTCCCAAAAAGTTTTGTGAAGCCGCCATTTTATTATCCTCGCATTAGCATTATTAGCATTAGCATTAGCCCAGCGCAGAAACGCAGAGAGACTAATTTATGGCAACACAAAATAAAACATGGGAGTGGTGGAGATGAGGAGGTGTCGGCGTTCTGGCGATTTACTCGGAAGGCTTCAGTGGAGTCCCAGCAGCTTCTACTGAAGCCAGTCCCCAACTCCGGGAACTTCCGGCCGGGGACTTTGGGCGGCAGTATACGCCTTGAAGTGGTTTGCGGCCTGCCAGTAAACCCAAAGCAGAAGAAGAATAAGTGACGTCAGCGGCTTCATTTGCCTAATCCACCCCCAGGGACTTTTTCCGGTGTGAACGCGATCTGTACTTAGTTCATGAGAACTAAAGAGTTCTCATGAACTAAATTCTCTTGAACCTTTGTGGGAAAAGTACTGCGGTGTAAATGCGGCTATTGGTCTCTATCTGCAGCCGGAGAAGAAACGAGTGCTCAGGGACCATCTGCAAAGTGCAACTCCGAAAAAAGAGAATATAATAATATTCAATCACTTCACTATTCTACAGTATATTACTACCAAACTCATTACACACATCAATAGTCTTCTGTTGCTCATACTACATCAGAGAGTTTGGAAGAATATGGTTTGGAATAATTTTGGTGAATATTTATACTGTATAATAGTAACGTTATTGAAGATGATGCCATATTTATTGAAGATTTTACACTATAAATATTCACCAAAATTATTCAAAAGCACATTCTTCCAAATTCTCTGCTGTAGTATGAGCAACATGAGACTATTGATGTGTGTAGTGAGTTTGGTAGAAATATACTGTATAATAGTGAAGTGATTGAATATTATTCGGAGTTGCACTTTGCAGACGGTCCCTGAGCACTAATTTCTTCTCCGGCTGCAGATAGAGACCAATGTGAGGACAGCACGTATTTGGCTTTTTTGATCAAAATGTGATTGTAGTTCGTTGTCAACCTTACCACGGTACTTAGGAGACGTCATTTGTGTCTGAACAACGTTTTGTTCATGAGTTATTGATCCGTGAAATCTGAATCTGCGAATATCGTTCCAACTTTACTCGACTTGTTGTCACTCAGTCATCAGTTTCTATAGACTATCTGGATTTAGTTATTGTGTAATAATTATTGTGTTCCCATGAACTACTAATGCGTGGGAACGTAATAACTAATTCGTGGCCACGCATTATTAATTCGTGGCCACGTATTAATATTTTTCTCACCAATGTCACCAGGGGGGCTCCGTAAAATTCACCTTTATGACACAGACATTTCCGAGCACACAAATGCAGCATTTGTAATCGCGTTTCAAAGTCTCGCGATACTGTGAGCCGAGCTGACCCGCTCGTAGTGCTGTTGCCCCCCCCACCACCAGTCAGCGAACAACCGGAGACTAGCTAGACATGCAGAACCGCCAGTGCACGTAGGATATACCACATATTTCTCCTGAGTTTATGAAAGAGCATTGAGTTATGACGGGGAGCATGTTTTAAAATAGAACCTATCTTTGTTCATTGAGTCGCAGGAAGAAATAACCGAATCAGAAAATCACTTGAAGGGAAGAAATAGTTGCGCGCCAGGTCTGACCGTCAACGTGTGGGAATGGCATCTCCCCGGCCGATAAAAGGCATCCTTAAAAACAAGAACAGCAGGACAAACGTCAAATCCCTGCCTGAAGAAGAACCGGGAGAGAATGCCGAACAAGCTCCTGTACTCTCGGAAGATGACGCACAGTAAGTTTTGCTTCGTAAGGCTGGCGGCCAGGTTAGCTAGCTAAACACTTGTTAGCCTCTATATACGTCCCTCCCCTATCAGGATAAGTGTAGCGTTTACAGCTCTTGTTTGGCTGTATTATGTAAATCAACGACATGTAATCTCTGTTTGGACACTTTTTGGTTCTATCTTGTGACTGAGGTGGTTACTCGTCCCTGGTAAAATGTTTTCGGCGTGTCGCATGTGTAACCAAGAGCTAACCGCTAGGAGCTGTGTGTAATGTTAGCTTGTTCGCTATGGCGACAGGTAACGTTAACGACGTTGTAACGCCTGTTAACGGATGTTTACATTGTTAGTTAGGGACCCTGAAATACAACTCTCTCTCTCTGACGTCTTCCCTAACGTAGTGATTATTTAAACAAATGTGGTTAACAATTATCGTTAAAAAGTGAAAACCTCCACCCCAACGATGACCATAATAGGGCAAATGAACATCAGCCTTACCAGAGGTCGACATAGGGCTAACGTGTGTAGGTATCGTTTAGTAAGTAAGATAAGAAGGACCTTTATTAATCTCCGTTGGGAAATTCAGGAGATTAAAGCGGCAATTGACTGAGAGTGAAAAACATTACAGTAGAGATTCACACGAGTATAATACAATTATATAAGTATCTGTTACAACAAGATATCACAACAAGGTCAAACTTTGATCATCTGAACGTTTACATAGTTTTTTTTAGAGCTTTCTTCTGTCACTTGTTTCAGAATTGCTTTATTTGTCCATCAACGGGGACCAGGGGCGGATCTAGACAAATATTCATGGGGTGGCAGGAGAATTTCAGGGGTGGCGTCCCCTGGCAGAAGTATATGCTGATTTAATCGCAGTCATATCAACAATGTTAACTTGGAAAGCCACAATATTGATATTTTAACTAAATAACATTAGGTGACATTATTGTGGCACATCAGTAAAGCCTTACATATAAATATATAAGGTGGCAGACATAATTTAATGAATTTTAACTGAACAATAACTGAATGAGTTTGTTTCACTCTTAGACCAGCAGGGGTACCAAATCTATGCAGACTGCTGCAATAAGTACATTAATTAACTCTCATCGATGTTTGTCTGTATGAATATGATAATATTAACAATCATATTATTCCTATCAGCTGTCAATCACTGTTATGATTCACATATTCAGTGTTATTATTAAATAAATTATATTTTTTGGAGGAGTTAATGATGAATGTTCCTCAAGATGCTTGCTCACCCTCCTTCAAATTTGAAAGACAAGTAATTACTATCATGAATCAAAAGAACAGTTCAGCGCCCCACAACTTCATTGCAAACAGTTACAACCTTGACTTTACATCAGAAAGAACAAACATTAAAGAAGTGACTAACTGCATCAGTTAGGGTTAAAAAACGTGTATTCAGCTAAAACATAAACATCGCTGCAGTTATTATCCAGTGGAAAGTCCTTACCGACTCGCCTAGTTAAATCAAAGTGGTTACTTTTTTTTGGCTGGGCAGTGAAGTTTTACACACCGTCTTATTTGACTTTCTCAGGACTTGAAACAGTTTTTGGGGCCAGACCCCCACAAAGAAGAAAAATATATTTACACACGTAAGGTCATCATCTTAACAGTTTATTATTCTCATTGACTCATCCGTGAGCAGAGCATCAAGTTGGCATGCCTATTACAGCTGAATGTGGCGATTACCATCTTGTTCAGCAAAACGCCTCACAAACTTATTAAGATTTAAAGCTATGGTGCGTTTTGATTCAATGCTGAGTACAGCCAAACTTGACAGGCTCTTTGTCATTGTAGACCGCAAACAGTGGCGGGGCCAGAGCATTTGTGTTGGGTAATCTATGGTAGGGCTAACCCATACAGTGGTGGGGCTCAAGTCAGTATTTACAATGTAATTACATACACGCTCCCATTGACAGTGAAACGCCACGCGTGAGGTTTAGATTATTTCCCTGTCTCAATCCAACTGTATGAAATAAAAAGGCACATTTGTCTTGTAGTAAATAAAAAGGGCGACCTGGAGCCAATCCTGCAATTTCCCCACATGTGAAAGAGTTGACCTGCTGAAAACCCAACCCCTGCAGTGGGGTCTGGGATTCTCCCCCAGGAGATTTTTTTGAAATACTAACATAAAATACACATTCTGGTACTCTCTTGAGAATAAAAATAAATAAATCTATTACTACACGACATATTTAAAAAAATGAATGCCATTTTAGTTTTTTGTTACTTTGTTCTGAGAGCTGAACCTGCTGCTCCTCACAGAGAGAAGAGGGAAGAGGCTGTGTGAATTACTTTACATTGTGGATAGCCCCCATTGTTCTGTGTGTCAAAATGAAAGACAGCCCACACACACCTATCATCAAACCGTGGGGTCTTATTTAATTACGTGTTGATTTCTATCAACACGTAATGTTGTATCGATGTATATAGAGATGTACTACAGCAAAATTATTCTCCGTCGGGACTTCCTGCAACAACACCACGCCGTTATCTTGATTGGCCAGAAGACATTATCAAAGATGTTCTATTGAGAAGACGATCACTACGTGACAAAAGTTTTCAAAACCGTTTCTAGTCTTCGGTATTTCCAGGCAAGTGGCTACTGAAATCAATCTTACTAACTGCTGTCTGTGCAATTTACTCCGAGTTGGCAGACTTTATTTTGCTTACTTTAACATCATTTTTCATGGTGGGGCTAAGCCATTTCCACGCTCACGCCATGGCCGGGGGAGGGGTTACAAGGCTCGCGTCTTGTGCTGCATTCACTTGCACTCGGACATTAGAGATTTTCTCTCATAAATGTCCGATGAGCCACAACTTTTCTTTCAAAACAAAGCTGCCAAATGGGGTGGCAGCTGGGGTGGCAAGGCCTTTTTCTGAGGTGGCAGCTGCCACCCCGTAGAACCGCCACTGACGGGGACAGTATCACAACAGCAGAATAGTGCAGATAAGTAAAAAGAATAGGCACACTTTATTAAAGGTGGGGTGGGTAATTTTGGAGAAACCAGCTTGAGTGCGCTAGAATTTGAAAATACACAGCCGGAAAAAATCTGCCACTTCCTTACAGAGCCCCTCCTCCAACACACACGAACGCGCACATGACCAATGAGGGCACGAGGTAAGTTTGTGCACAGATGGAAGGCTGACAGGCAGGTAGGCCATCCAGTTATCTTAGCCGGGCCGGCTAAAATGATTGGTCGTGCTTTTTACAGCGCTACGGATTAATCTTTTTAATGGATTTTTTGTCAAAGCACTTAAGATATTCATTGCTATCGGGATGTTAAGAGCATTCCATGGATTATAACAAAAAGTGTATCTCGAGCCGGTTTCTCAAACTTACCTACCCCACCTTTTAATAATAAAAAACACAATAAGTAAAAGCAAATACAACATTGTAAAAATTAGCAGTATATTTATTTAAAAAAAGTGACCATATAAAAGTAGCTGTTAGTGTTAACAGATTGTTAATAAATTGAAAGAAAAATAAAGTGTAAACAGCATAAGAATAAATAAAGATGCAGAAAGTGTAAGACACACAGCTCATTGTCTGCTACAAGTTACATGATCAAGATCAAGGCTGACCAAAGGCCACTTACATATTTGAGGGTATTGACAGAGTGTATTTGTTAATCTTTGATAATCTTTAATTAAAATATGTGTTGCTCTGAGCCTATGACGGGCCATGTGAGCCATTGAGAAAGAAATCAGTCTAAACCAGTGTGTAGACGAAAAAGAGCTGGGTGAGTTATGTTTCTTGCGACAAGCACTTGATGTTTTATCTGACACTGACAACGGTGTTAGCAGCCTGCGCAGGCACTAAAGCACCAGGCAGCGTCAAATACTGGGTCACTAAAAAAATCCTATTCTGATACTCTTACATCCACATCTGCATTAGTTCTCGTTCAACCATCTCCACATGCTGCTGAATATTTTTCAACATTTTCATTATCAGATTCAGAATCTAGTTTACTGCCAGGTACGTTTATACAAGGAATATACTGTATAGTACATCAGTATGATCTGTCAAATCCCCTGTTTCCTCAACACATCACATGTCCCACATAGTCCAGGCACCCACACTCTTAGAAGGGATGGGTCAAAAATGACAACATGTGTGTAAGATGCTTTGCAGGGCTTCATTTCTATCCTCATGCTTTCCAGTTTGTTAGTTTGGTTTGTAGTCTAGGACATCAAACTAAAATAGTGTGTGTGTTTGACACTTCAGATATGGAGAAGAACATTACTGGGGAAAAAGATGGATTATGCCAGAACACGTGACTGACTAGGCTGCATACAGTAATGCTACCAATGTGCACATTGTGAAAACTCTCCTGGGAATGCCAAATCAGCTATTTGTTGTCTAATAGGTGCTCATCCTCAGGATCGGATTAGCAAGATTGGAAAGTTGGTTTATTTTCTGGAGCCGTGCCATATCGTATGCATTGATATCATGGACTCTGACACTTTTGCTGTGGCAGTGAGACTCAGCCTCAGATCAGCAGTCCCTGTTAAGTCATCCCAGTGTTGTGCTCTCCCACAGATAACGCTCACAGCCACTCTGCCCCCAGGAAATTCTGGCCATGCAGAGTTCCCTGTGTGATGCGTTTGTTATGTAAAGGGGATTTGCACTGATCAGGGAGCCTCTTTGACAAAAAACCTGCTCAAACACAAACATGCATTACTTTCCATTGTTTATATAGCTGCTGGTGTGCTGTCAAACTGTGTTAAAAACATATTTCCATGTTTTTAGCTATGTAGGTCATCCGTGAATGCACCTCTGAGTAATTGGGTAAAAATACCAGAGGCAATAAATGGTGCATTTCTATGCAGAATATTTTCTAATATTTCATACGTTGCCTTTTCAAATCCTATCCTTTACCATTGATAATGTGTTCAAGTGCCCTTGAGCAAGTGTTTCTTAACAAAGCACATGCACCTATTAGAACACTATTACACAAGCTGGAAACTAGAACAAAAA